AAATTACATTGCATATTATAACTGGATTTGTAATGTTTATGCAGGTATGTATGGTGTATCCTAGCGTGCAGAAAATACGTTCGGAATCAGCTCCGCGAACGAAGCTCATAATGAATAATTCAATTAAACGTCTTTTAAAATTAATGACGAGCTAGAAAGACGTGCGGTTTGTATAATAAAACGGTAGAATGTAACGATCACGCTAGATTCAATAAAAGGTCATTGAAACTGCGAGAAATCACTAGGAAAAGGCCTCAAATGAATGAAAATCAAAAATGCATATACCGTAATACTGATGCTATATAGTTTCGCACTCAATATAAATCTGAAAAATGGATATTGCGCAAGCTGGAAAAAAAATTAGACGCGATATTTATGGATTTATTTAGATGTCACAAAACATATGTAGATATTTTTCGATATTAAAAAGGCCTAATAAAGTAATTACGGATATTTGATTTTATCTCTTGAACGAATTAAGTTATCAATCTGTGCTAAAAAGAACGTACTTTACTTTAACCTCGTCTTAGGGTTAGTTTTTTTGTAACTTATGTCCTTAAAAAATAATCAATAACCTAGCAGGTTATTCGCCAGAATTGTTTGTTAGAACTGTCATCTGTCATTCCGTGTTAAGTAGTACAGCCTTAGAGCCACATACTTTGTTTTATCAAAGTAAGTGCTTAGAGCATATTGCTCTTTTTATCAAATTTTAAAGGGTAGTATTGTCAAGCGACATGCTAATGATGATTACATCATACGTTGAATCTTTTAGGCATTTTTGGAATTATGGGCGTGTTCTAGAATTCAACAAAATAATGTACGGATGATGGATCACGTGACCAACAAATCGCTGACTGCTGGAATCCTGATTTTTATCTGATGAAAATTATTTAAGAACGTCTGACATTTATGATTTTGTAATCTTAACTGTCAAACTGTATAAGGGCCCCACCACTGATCTGTATTATTTTACTGGATAGGATATAGGCTATATTTAACATACTGAAAAATCGTTCCACCAAGGAGACCGGAAGTGCAACAATGCTGGCCGATTTGGGCAAATTATGGTGGGTTCACAGAACTGAAATTTGAGATAATTTGACATACCTAACCTATAATTTGATTAGTTTTTCTTCTTATTCTTCTTCTATTCCTTTTGCGGGCGATGTCCTTTGGGAAATTTCACCCATGATTTGATTTTTTATGAAAGAAAATATAAAAATGGAAACGTGAAGCATATTGTGTCTTCAGGAATGAACGTTTATTGTTTATTTCATACTCTTTTTATTTTGTTTTCCACAATAAAAACATCTCATCGTAGCTTGTTGACACAATTAAATGACAAATGTGATGACAAATGGAAATAGAGGTTACGTTAAATAACATCCGGTCCGCCATATTATTTGCCCAAATCGGCCAATTTTTCGGAACGTTTTTTAGGGGGCTATATTATATCCAGTAAAATAATACAGATCAGTGGGCCCCATTCACCTCGTTCTTCTCCGCCGTTTTTAACCGACGGTTAAAAACGTCAGGGTAAAAATGTCACAAAAACGAGGTGTTTGGGCAAGAACGTCGTTTATGAACGTCGTTCCAAAATTTCAGGCGAGTCTTGATTTTTGACGGTTATCGTGCCAACCGTTCGAGTAAACACGAGGTGTATGTTCTTAACAGTTTGACTGGTCGGGCATTTATTAGTAGCAGTGACGTTCAGCATGTTTTTGTTGTTTATTATTGTTTACAATAAAAATGTCGGATATTAAGCAGTGGAACAGAGATTTTTTATTAGAGTTTATGGAGCTTGGCAGGTTTCGGGTATTATGCGCCCTAGTGCCTGCGGTGAAATAATAACAGAAAACTTCAGATCCTCGTAGTTGCGGCCAGTGGCCAGAAACCGCAGAGTAGTAGTTAGGCGTTCGTGAGGACTGATGCATTCCCGTAAATGGGTATTATGTCTCTCAATTAACGGTGTTAATAGTTTTAACAGTTTCCGATACGTATCCTCGTCCATCCTCAAGTAATTGTGCCAATCACCAGGCTCCAATCTTAGCTCCTCCAGTAACTTTGTTTGTGACAGTGTACTGCGTTTAAGTAGCCAGTCTTTAGTCCATTTTCTTCGAGATTTTATTTTTTCACGATTTTTTTTCACTGCCAAAACCGCTGCCACTGCTAACAAGCACGTAGGGTCCATCGTGATAAACTGGCGCAAAAAAAACTGTTGTGTGTGGACATATCAGTCAACGTTTTTCCTTCCAACGTGTTTAACCGTCGGTTAAAAACAGCAAAGAAGAACGAGGTGAGTGGGGCCCTTTATATAATGAAAACCACATACTTTGATTACTATACGGTGCAAGAGAAAGGTCCGACATGCTCAACATAGGGCGCGGCTATTTTGATTCCTATGCCACCGTTTATAGCTAAAGAATCACATCGCTCACTCTGCGTCGGCACTTTTGATCTCAATGTTCCAGTTTATACAATGCGCAACTCGGATAATACAATATATGACAACCGCCCATAATAAAACAGCAGTCTTCTGCGTATCCTGAATTTGTATCCCTGGAGTGGTTGTTATTTTGGAACTTTCAACTGGTCCGAATGAGCTAACTGATTCTTTAGCAATAAACTGTGACTCCAAAAATAATATTCACTGACACTGACAGCAGCAAGCAAAATATCAGGTGCGTTTTAATCATCCGCTTCTGCTTCCGGAATTGTCGGTTTAGTCGTTTTAACCTCTCAGATTAAAACAAGAAAACCAACAATTCCGAAGCAGAAGCGGATGATTAAAACGCACCTATTAAAAATATTGCGCCAAGATGTAGGGAACACGTGATAAGGGATCAAAATGGCGGAGTTTTCTATCTCCTTTTAAAAGGCACTCAGAAAGCTGCGCAGTGCGACCATTCTCTGTATAGTAAAAGAAAATCAAAGTATGTGATGAAAACCCGAGTTGCGCAGTGTATAAACTGGAACATTGAGATCAAAAGTACCGACGCGGAGTGAAGGATCTGATTCTTTAGCTATAAACTGAGGAATGAAAATGGCCGCGCCCTATGTTGGGCGTGTCGGACCTCTCTCTTGCACCGTATAATAATCAAAGTATGTGATGATAACAAACAATTCGAACACTTTTTTATGAGCACAAAAACTAAAGACAAGTATGAGTAATACAATAATTGAAAAAATACGTACTTGCCTCTATTTGCTTGCTGTATATCTAACGCTAACAATCTTATTTTTAAAGTTAGTCCACTTATAGGTTGGTTTAAAAAACCCAGTTAGTTTCTTCATTCATATTATTAGGAATTTTAAGCAAACTTTTCCTATTTCCTTATCTGTTTAATATTAATTAATCATTTAAGGTTATGTCACGTGATCCATCAGTGAATCAACATAATCGCGGTGATGGATTTGGTGACAACCATCTGAGAATTAGGCTGAATTTAAGAATATGATGTATGACTCATCTAAATTTGATCAAATCGCCACCTTAAAATTGGGGCCCAGTAGTGGGTCAACATTTTTTGCGATACTGAATCTTCGGTTTCTGGAATCTACACAAACGAGCACATCAAAAAACCGTAATTAACTGGAAATTTGTTAGTTCTATATTTTAATTTGCGTAATTTCAGTAATTTAATTAATTATGTTTAATATATATTTTAATAAGCTAATAAATACTATTTACTGCAAACACCTAGGGTATAAATTTGACATGTATTGTGATAAATTACGTAAACTAATTCGCTGGAATGTAAAAGAATTATCAATGATTTATGTTTATTTTTTTTTTATTATTGGGTAGTATATTTTCTCTAATTTTGTTGGTTTATTCGCGAACTTTCTCATTAACTAGGTTGGTGTACCTATTTAATGACTAAAGTACGAGAACTTTTCAAAGAACTGCGTTTGTAATATAGACAGCAATTTATCTTGCGCTCAATAAGAATGCCGTAAAGTGGCTCTTAGGTAGTGCATAGGCGAAATTTACTTCTATTTTTAGTTAAAGTTTCAAACAGGAAGGAAAATACCTATTCAATAGGATATTATTTTCTATTGTGGTTAAATTACTTGTATTATATGGTATTATTATCGATACCAATCACAGGAAGAGCTCTAACTGCAGCCATTAGATACTTGGCTTTTAAGAAGCTCCACTATATTTGTATACGACACAATTCGCTCTTGAAAAATTAGGCTGGTAATTTCTTCCGTAAAAAGGAAAAACCTAGTAATTCAGTTTATTTAATTTTACAGTATAACGGATTTATTGGTTTTTCAATGACATTAAGAAACTATAAGGGCAAATAAAAAGTTTTAATCAGTGTATAGGTTTTTAAAGTCCATTTTTTTAAATTCACTTTAATTTTTTTAATACATTGAACAGTTTTTAAAATACTAGACTTACTATTTTTTTTAGATAAGAGTTATAAAATTTCAATGTAAAAATATAGTAAGCTAATTTGCTGTTTTTATTCAATTCAAAAAAATATCAATTATCAAGGCAAATTCTAGCAAGTCAACTTACTAACAAATTAAGGAGCTAAAAGTCAAATCATGAAAGATGTAATTTACTAAAGTAGTTTTATTGAAGATAAATGACATTAGGCTAGTCTAACAAAATACTGAAAAATATGTTTTTAAAAAATTATCAAAAAATTGGTTTAGTAGGTATGTCTATTTTAATCATTTAATAAAATACATGAAAACACAAATGGAGAACAAATTAAAATGTATGCGTTTAATACTGGTTTGATAAAAGATCAGTTGATTTCCCAGACATTGGCAATTGCTCCCAGAATAATCTTTTAATGGGAGGCATAGATGGAACCAAATCATATAGAATTTTCTGTTTATTTTTCGGGGTTTATGCCCTGGGTATTTTTTTTAGTCTCCGGTATTGACAGTATATTTGGATCTTAAAAAATCTACGCTTAAAAATTCATTGTCTGTGTATGTTTAGTTTTATAAATCATAGATTTTGAATTTTTTTGGAACTAAACTTTAACGTTGTTTAACATAGGTAAATTTTCCGAGCTATTTTTTGATCGTCTTTGTCTATTACCTTCTTTAAATTCGTAAAAGTCTTCAAAGTTCAGCAAAAGGGTCTTATTATGTCTTGATGTTTTAGGGATAATATCATTTAGGTCATGAATGTCATAAACATTAGATTTTTTTTTCATTGCTTTCCCAATTTGACCATGCACAACATCTGCTTTCATAAATGAATGGCCTGCTTCAAAGTACTTGACAGTCACAGTTTCTGGGCCCCAATCCGCATTGACAGCTGCTGTGCACAATGCAACATACAGTTTCCAATTTTTATTCAGAGCACTGCAGTTGTCACACCAAAAGGTATAGTGTTTAATATGAGCAGGTGCCCTTTTAATAATAGCATAATAACTGGAAGCTACATCTTCTGCATTACTACCAATTATAGCCATACACAAATGATTTCAAGGGGCTTATGTAGGGCAGCAAATGTTTTATTAAAAACCAAAAGCCTGCTTACAAAAACAGACGATTTTAGCGACATTTTAGGTAGTAATAAAAGTTTTTGCATATTGACTGAAAACATCATGTGACTTTTCTTGGCAATTTTGTCGCGGTCTTCTTGATATGCCGCTCTTGCTTGTTTATAGAGTTCATGATGTACATCAAACCAATACAAGAAGAACACGCTTCATTGCAATTCGCACTTCTCGAATTATTACAAACTTTTGCATGTTCTTTTCGTAAAACACATACGTTACAGTTATCCTGATTGGGCTGATTAAAACCAATATTTTCTAAATGAACTTCGTGTCGGTACCTTTCGTAGGATACATTTTCTATTGTTTCACAGAAATCTTTCTACATATCTGTTATACTTATATCTGAAGGTAGATATCGCCTGCTTGGAGCATGCACAAGTTTGTAATGGGATACTTGTGGATTAAATGAATTAATGTGATCTTTAAATATTAAGCTATCTTTCTTATTGGACGGAGTTCCCTTTCCTTTCCCGTCCTTGGCAATTTGTAATCCTTTAGATTTATTTTGGTGACGCCTAAGTTCTGTGATCATACCTTCTGTTTTAAGTCCATGGGTATGTAAAAACATAGTTTTACTTATCATACTGTAGGTAAGAGACCACTGTCCTTTATAATTACTGCCTGTCCGACTTTGTTTAACAATATTCTTTTTTACGTAGGCATTTAAATATTATCGTCTTTCTCCGAAGTTTAATTGCCAAAATGACTCGCAAATGCTCTTTCGCTCATCATTAGAAAAAAAAAATCAAAACATCTTTTCTTGCAGTTACATTCTGATATTTTTGCAAATTTCTTTTCCTTTTTTTTGATTCAGTTCTAATTATTTTTTTTCTTTTAACCTGTGTAACTACCGATTTTTTATTTTGATTCTCATCTTCATCCTCAGTTAATTTATAATCGTTTTCAGCACCTAAAAAAATCAAAATGGTACATTATATCGGTGTATTACCTTTTGTTGGTTTAGACTATAGAGACAAGTATTTAAATTTGGTAGTGCCTTCCTTTAAAATACTCATAATATAATAGGCGTATAGTTTTTAAGTAAGTTTAATCTGGGATACATACTACCCGCAGTTTCAGGAAGCTTTGTTAAATTGTGCTAAGAAATCCCTAATGATGATATATATTATAGATATAGATAAATATTCTTACTTGAAATTTTTCTTTTTCGGGATAGAAATTTCAACTTTATGGTATTCTTTTGCTTTTCATCTGATGGTTCGTAGTCTGGATCCACGTCGGAATCATCAACAGAGCTATCTTCCAGATACTCTATAAGTACGCAACATTTTATTTATAGTTTTTTTAATATTTTTTAATAATTTAGAATTACCTTCACGAAGTGGTTGTAACTCTGTGAAAACTTTTGATGAAACTTGTTTTTCACAATTTGGTTCATTGGTCGCATATTCATCAATAATGTCATTGAACTGTCGCATTTCTACAGGGATCATTTTTCGATCTGTTGCATTACCTTCACAAAATGGCTGTAACTCTGTGAAAACTTTTGATGAAACTCCTTTTTTACTATTTGTTTCACTGGTCGTATTTTTATCAATAATTTCATTGGGCTGTCCCATTTCTACATGCATCATTTTTCGATCTGTCGGATCACCATATTTTCCGATACTAAAATGTTTTTAAAGGTAAATAAAATTCCAATGCTCTAAAAACTTACTAGTAGGCAATCTAAAATAAATAGTGTATTTTACTAGCAGTATTACTTTTCATAAGTTTTTTGATACCTATCCAGTGGAAATAGCTAGTAGATTAACATGCAATAGAAAACTAAATTTGGCTAAAAATTGAGTTACTAGATTTTTTCTTTACACGGGAGATTTACACAACGCCAACTTTCTAATCGATAATTTAAATTAGGAGTTTTATTGTTACACCCTTCATTATACCTAACACACAAACCGGTAATTAAGAGCATCCCTAGTACACCCTTCTGCCCGAAACAATAACGCTGCCAGTGACAATCAGACAATTAATCTTGACGATATTAGTATTGAGTATCGGCATGAGGGAGGAACTACAATTACTTTATGACAAGAACAGTTGTTACTGCAGTGCCTGTTATTCGACGAAGAGGTATACAAATGTAAATTAAGGTATTGTAATTAACTTTAATTATTTACTGCAATCATTCTCCACAATATACAAATGGTTTATATTGTGCCGCATTCATTTAACACCTGTTAATTTACTAGTGAAATAATAATGTATAATAAATATTTTGCTGAACTAAAATTTGCATAATAATAAATGAACTAATTGCAAATGTTTAAATAAATAATAATATCAAATATACCAGGAAAAACTTTAAATTTTTAATAAGCTTTTAGTAAGAGTAAGTTTTAACTGTTGCTTATTATTGACCTAGGATTAAAATCGCTTATTTGCTCACTCCTTAAAATGGGGCATATAAAAAATATCTTAGTATGACAATTTTAATTGATTCTTGGCTAACTTCCAATATCTCAATGGCTGAAATTAATATAACTAACTATTTGATATATAGGTGTGATCGTCAATCTGAAACAAAACAACGAGGTGGTGGAGTTTTGATAATGGTTCGTAAAGGAATCTGTAGTAGTAAAATTAACATAAATTACAAATTTAGGTCTAATTTCGAACAATTATTCATAAACATAATCCTTGGTAGATCAAAATATGTTATTGGTGCTGTTTATATTCCTCCTAAATCAAATGAAGAAATATATTTGGAACACACGCAATGTGTGGAAAACCTTCAAGCGTCCCTTCCAAATCACCAGTTTGTAATATGTGGTGATTACAATATGCCACAAGCAGTTTGGTTTAATGCAGATGGTGACTTTCATGCTGATTATCCTCAAGATTCTGCAGCAAGTATTGTTCATGAGTGTTTTAGCTTTCTCAATATGTTTCAAGTAAATATGTTACCAAATGAACGTGATGTATTCTTAGATTTGTGCTTTACACACTGTAAAGAGCTAAATGTCGTATCTGCTAAAGATCCTTTGTTACCAAATTCTCATCATCATGTTGCTTACAACTTTTCACTAATATGTGACAACGATAATTATTTAAAGTATGAAATATACTATCATGATTTCAGAAATGCTAATTTCTTACAATTAAACAATTTTTTGAGTTCTATAAATTGGAACAATGTTCTAAGCAGACACAACATTGATATTGCTCTTGAGCAATTCTATGACATAGTTTACACAGCTCTAAACTTGTATGTTCCTGTAAAAAAGTTCAGATCTAGTAATTTTCCATCTTGGTTTTCATCCTACCTTAAACAATTGACTATTAATAAAAAGATAGCCCACAAGCGATACAAACAAACTAAAAACTTAGTAGATTATCAATACTTTTCAGAAATTAGACAAGAATGCAAGACGATTAGCAATGAGTGTTATGAAAGGTACATTGAACGAATAAACAAAAATATAACAAATGATCCTTCTTCATTTTGGAAGCATGTAAATAATTTGAGAAATCAAACAAACTACCCTTCAAGTATGCATTTTAATGGAGAATTTAGCAATGACGGCTATTCTTCAGTGTGCCTTTTTGCTAAACACTTTTCTTCAGTATATTCTAGTGATATTCATGCTTCTCCAAATTACAGCAATGATAAAGCCATGGATCTGGACTATTTTCATATTTCTATTCAAGATGTTTTTAATGGCATATCTGAACTAAAGTCTAAAGTATCGTTTGGCCCTGATGGTATACCTGCAGTGTTCTTGAAGAATTGTGTTTGTACTCTCACACAACCCTTGCATCTGTTATACAATTTATCTTTAAAAACCTCAGTATTTCCAAGCTTCTGGAAGAACGGTTTTATAACTCCTATTTATAAGTCTGGGGACAGAGAAAATATATCAAATTACCGAGGAGTTTCAATTCAGTCTGAAATTCCAAAGTTATTTGATAAATTAATTTCTGTACAATTGGCCTGGTCAGCAAAACATATAATTGTTCAGGAACAGCATGGTTTCTCATTGGGCAAATCGACCTCAACAAATCTCTTATGTTACCAAAATCACATTTTGAATGCCTTTGAGAACAAGTTGCAATTTGATAGTATATATACAGATTTTTCAAAAGCATTTGATAGAGTTAATCACAATTTATTAATAAGTAAACTTGAGTCTTTTGGGATACATAGAACAATTTTGAATTGGATCAAAAGTTTCATATCGAATCGGGTGCAGTGCGTCAAAATTAATAATTTTGTATCAAACGCACTAAACGTTCCTTCTGGAGTACCACAGGGGTCCCATTGTGGATCAATTTTATTTAATCTTTTTATTAACGATATTGGTGAAGTATTTGATCACTCAAAATATCTCCTATTTGCCGACGATTTGAAAATATTTAAGTCAATAACAAACGATAAAGACTGTTATTTGTTGCAAGCTGATATAGATAGATTTTACAACTGGACCACACTTAATGCTCTTGACCTCAACACTTCTAAATGTTATGCCATGACCTTCTCTAGGAAAATAGCAACTTTTATTCATGATTACAAGGTTAACGGCAACATTCTAAAAAGGGTGAATGAGATCAAAGATCTCGGCGTTATTATGGATAAAGAATTAAACTTCAAGAATCATATCGAAAAACTAAAATCTACAGGGTTTAGGAATATCGGTTTTATAATTAGAAATAGTAAAGACCTATCTCTGAGCAATTTAAGACTTATTTATTCATCACTTGTTAGGTCAAGTCTTGAGTATGGATCTGTTGTGTGGTGTCCTTTTTATCAATGTGATATAAATATGTTAGAAAGAGTGCAGAAGAAATTTCTTAGACACTATGCTTATAGACTGGGTTATAGGTGGAGTGAAACAAACTATCAATCAATAGGTAGTATTTGTAACTTAATATCACTGGAGAAACGTAGACTTGATGCAAATCTATTGTTTGTTTATAAATTGATCAATGGTTATATCAACTGTCCTGATTTATTGTCACAATTTTGTTTTAATGCTGGGCCAAGAACGAACAGAAATAGACCTACCTTTTATATACATTCACACTCAACCAATTATGGTTATCATAGTCCGTTGTCTCGTTTGCCCCGTGAATATAATCATTGTTCGTTAGATATCTTCTACAAATCACTAACTACGTTCAAAAATGCTTTAAAATCGCTGTAAATAACATTAAAATAACTATATATAATCTATTAATACTTAACCTTCTATGTTCATTATTTCTTATAGTTTTATGTCTACTTTTAATAGTTAATTTTTCTGCGGTTTTAAAAATAGGTATCTGTCTGTATATGTAACCTGTGTTAAATTAATTTAATTTAATTTTAATAATTTTGTATTTTTAATATGTATTTCAATTTTGTATTTTCAATATGTACTGGAAATCCGTAAATAAATAAATAAATAAATAAATAAAAGAATAAGAAAAATATGATATTTTTTAACAAAATATATGGTATTTCATTATAATAAGCTGTGATAGGTTCTAAATGATAAGGACTTTTTACTAGTTTTTATCAATAACAAGTTATATAGGTATACAAAGACAAAATAAGTGTTGCAAGAGATAAAAAAGTAAAGGGGTCAGATAGGTTGTAGCATTGTTCCAACTTGAAATAAACAATACTAAAGAAATTGACATTCTTCATACTCTAATTATGTAATAAAATATTGTCGACAGATGTTTTCTCAATGCTAAGTAAAAAAATTGCATAATTGTGTTTAGCAGTTTACACTTTAAAGAAACTGCATCTTATGAAGTTTCAGAATCTGAAACAGATATACCTATAGTACTTACTCACATTTAGGAAAAACAGTTGAAGAGAAATACAACCTAGGAATGTCCATTAACTCTCCAGTCAAGGAAAAGTAAGTAACTTCGTGAAAAAGAGCAACTCAAGATTTATGTACCTTTTGTCTCTCGCTAGGATTGAGGTAGTATTTAAAAGTAAAAAAGAAATGTTGACAAGAAGTGCAACCGTGTGCGTGATTGTTTATGTTCAATTGCATTAGAAATGACTTTTTAAGACGTTTCGTAATCGTGAACGAAACATGTATCTATTAAAATACTGTTTTTGGTATCACAATTTATTTAAACTAAACTTTAACAACAACTATACAACTGATAACATTAACTGATGTCAGGATCACTGCATATATAGCTTGCTTTCACCTTCTCGAACTTTCTCTAACTGTCTAGGCTTTTCCTTGACGTGGAATGACATTTCCAGACATTTACCTTCTTTTGCTAGTACTTTTACTTATGACAATCGCAGCACACTGTAGGGTGATGAGTAACATTGCACTTTTGGGGAAGCACCCCGAAACAGGCACATGGAAAAGCCTTTATAGGCATACCATGTCCCAAAAGAACTTAAGAATTACTCTTTATGAGTAGGAACCAGTTAAAAGTGATAACAGGGTTCATGACTGGACACGCCCCAGTAAAGGGACACTTGAACAAAATTGGCATGTACAATGAGGAACTCATGTGCCGACTATGTCATAAGAAACCAGAAACGGCCAAAAACATACTGTGCGAATGCGAAGCTCTAGATCACAAAGGACAGGCTCTTTTTGGACAACCCCAAGTTGATTCAACAACGTATAGAACCCACTCACCCAAGAATCTGTACAAACTTGTACAAAGTACAAAGGTGACAGATAGGGTGCTATGAACTAACATGGCGTAAAACACAATAAGCCAATAGGCTTCAGTATTATTTGGAGACATAGACAGACGAGCTCAGGAGAAAAAAACATTGCACTTATTTTTGTATTTGTACGTTTCCTATAACAGCTGCAAGCTACTGCAGGGTGCTGCGTAACAATATACTAGAAATCAAGGAGCAATCGGAATAACTTCTTTTTTCTAAACAAGTTCAAACCAAATAAAGCCAAGCTGAGTCGTCTTTCAGCCAATAAGGTAATCGACACAGATTTTTTGAATGCGCACAGTAAAATTTGGTTAATACCAGCACGTGAAACTTGTACTAAATGTTTCCCATTGTTAATAACGGCCGAATACGACCATGATCTTAAAAAACATACATTTTAATACATACTCTGATTCCTAGAAACCGTGGTTGTATTTAAACTCACATCTTACACTGTTTTATTGCTAAATCTTTGTTAAATAGTTTGTACACAACAAAATTTCACAAGTATTATTTAAAAACTACCTACATGTCTTGTCTGCTTTGAAAAGTAATCACATTACTTTTAAATTTACCTAGTTATGTGTAATTGAAAAATGCCCCGGCTTGTTAGCGCATGACGATTTTTGTCGAGCGAAGCAATTTAAGAGCCCTAAGATCTACTGGTGAAATAATGCAGCGATTTCTACTTATAATTCACTGACCAATTATTTTCTTCCGTGATGGAGTAATTTGACTTGCAGAACATATTCTATGGGCTACGAAGTAAGGCTTACATACCACAAGGAGGTAACGTAATTATTTTGTCCGAATCAACGTTATGGACTAATTGTACAAGAGTGGCGTAAGATTTATTGCTGCAAAAGTGGCGCAAAGTACAATGTTGTGTATTTTAACATAATTAATTTAGTTAACAGACTAGATACTTACTTCGTTAGCATGGGCAGTTGCTAGAGCCGCGGCACTAACCAGAGCACTACTGCTAGAAAGACCCGCACTTTGTGGCACATTACCGCTCACTACAATTCTCATTCCCTTGATAGTAATGTCTTTAGGTAGGATTTCGAGAATACCCTTAACACCGCACAAGAAATATTGATACCACTGAGGTGCTCCTTCCCCTATGGCAATCCTGTAACAGAAAATTTTAAATAAATAGTTTTTATCACTAATATTTTTTCGAAGCACAATATCAACATTTTAAATTGACATATTTTAAAAAGACACATTTAAATGCATTCTTTAAGCAGTTTTCTCGCATTGAGAAAATAAACTCACGAGTAAAGTTTGTAAATGAAAATAATTGTTTACTTCACAATCTTTCGGTGTAGCCTCAGATAAAGATACAGAAGATACCGAAAATATTTAAAATAAAGATTATTCTAGAGGTCAATTGCTAATAGTTGGTAGGTGTGAACTTGTACATTAAAAACCATTTTAGATCTGGGAATTATCCATATTAGTTACGACAATAATTAATAAAACTTGTTATTTTTATCCTCAAAATCATTTGATCCTTGAAATATTTAAATTTCCAGCGGGTACGTCCTTTTGAGGATGCAATGAGATATATAGTAAACTGATAATAAATAAAAATCAACTTGGAATGGTAATTTGTTCTTATCACAGATGTGGATTTAAGGAGATATGAAATGTAATTTTAATCAGGCATGTAGAATTAGGCGCCATCTTTTAAAAAGTAGATACTCACGCGCTTGCGCATTAATTGCGTATTAAATTGTACAGGATAGGACTGGCACATTTAAATACAATTTCAAAATATTAAGGATTTAATTACAATAAAACTAATATCCTTAAAAATTCCTAAGAGAATAAAAAACATTAAAGTCTTGTTTCAAACTTTAGTGAAAACATTAAAGGAATAAAATACCATTTCATATATTAAACGAAGGCCGTCATATATTTTATACCAAACAAATCTGGAATTGCGTGATTTAAACAGAACTTTCATGTTAAAAAATATAAATTTTGTATGTAAACTATTACATGGAAATATCAATTGCTAAAATCTTAAAAGTATTTCATTTCACATAACTAACTATAAATTTAAAGAATTCGAATTTATTTAAAACATCGTTCCATCAGGAATCATTAATCAAAATAATTATTATGATTAATGATTATGATTATGGGAAGTATTCTTTAGTAAATTTAAAACTATTCTCAGAAACGTCTAATCCGGAAACCTTTCGATATTCAAATATCAGAAAGGGCCAAAAGCCGGAAAAATAAGAAATCAACGAATCAATCTGGTAAATAACTCTTTTAGAAATAAGAGGGTCTTTATCATGAAAGATAGTCAGGCAGCCCTTAAAGCACTGAAAAGGGTAGAAGTATAATCTAAATAAATACTTGATTGACAACAGTCCTTCCAGGCCCTGACATAACAAGGTTACCCTTGAATAGGTGCCGGGACATGAAGGAGTGTTTGGAAACGAGAAAGCTGACCTCTTAGCAAGGAAGGCAGCTGGAAAAACTTTTATTGAACCAGAACATACATGTAGTATCTCATACCAACATGTTAAATGGGAATAAACAAATAGAGAACACCATTGGCTCTGGTTGGAACTTCCTGGACTTAGACAGTCCAAAAGATTCATAGACGGGCCATCCACGAGCAGACAAAATCAACTGCTAAACCTTAGCAGAAGCGAACTGAAGGTCGTAGTAGGGCTCCTTACGGAACACTGCGGCCTTACAAGACACCTAAATCTCTTAGGGGTATCTGATGACTCCCTATGTAGAATATTTGAAGAGGAGGACAAAACTCTTATTCACATACATTGCCACTGTCGGAACCTTGAATGAGAATCAATATCCGGAATCTGAAGAAATCGCGAAAGCGCCAATCAGACATATTTTTGAATTCATCAAGAAAATCAATTTGATGGGATAGAAACTGTAAGGGGTACAACAAGCCTAGAGCCTCAGTACGAGTGGGCTTTGAGCAACCCCCTAATTCGGATAGATAAAATATCTAGTCAATTATTTAAATAAAAAGGAAAATAATTCCAAATTTAAATATGATAAAAGCGTAAAATAAATGAAAACAAGAAATTATCTAAGCCATGTGTTACAAAATCAAACAAGCGACAGTTTCCTTTAGAAAACAACTACACCTTTGGCTAATTCTGCTACAAATAATTAATTATATTCAAAGAAAAACAGCAAAGAAAAATTTAATTTTAACATTCTAAGTTTGATTTTGCTTACTAAGGAGAACGTTATTCTTGGACTGTTTTCGTACTTATTAAGACTCATCATAGATATTCTCAATTTCTGTTACTAATGAAATCTGCAAAGACGTTAAATTCACCCGCCTACATGGACGAAGAAGGTTGTGAGAGAATAAGAAATCACAAACTTTTGATTTTGCCAAGTTATTGCTGAAGGCGTTACTTTTTTACTTTACGTAATTACAATAGTACTACAGGGTGTCCCAAAAGTCACTAACTGATTTTAAAATTCAATAATTACGGGCACATTGATTTTTTTTTTAATTTCTTTTCAGATTTAGAAAATAGTAGCTTAGGAGACTTGCTATAGAAAAATTCAGCGTTGAGCAAAGAGTCGGTATCGTGCAGAGAAGAAAATGATTTTCTAAACAGATTAATCATGAGCGACAAAGCGCACTTCCATCTGAATGGCTTTGTTAACAAATAGAAATGTTAGTTTTGGGGAACAGAAAACACAGAAGTGATTCATGAGCGAGAACTTCATCGAATAAAGTGTACAGTTTGGTGTGGAGTTACAAGTCAAAGCATCATTGGACCTTTCTTCTTTGAAGATGAAGACGGCAATGCTTAGACTGTTAGTGGAGAATGATACAGAGACATGCTCCAAAATTGTGTACGGCCCGCTCTAGAAAACCAGAGATATGATTACAGCAAAATGGCGCTACTGTCCACATAGCCAGGGCAACCACGGAGCTCCTAAGAGAAATTTTTGGTCACCGAATAATTTTTAGAAATTCAGATTTCCGTACCCCGCACGTTGGCCTGATTTATCAGCCTCAGATTTTTTTCTGTGGCTAGGTCAAAAATATCTCCATGAATTACTCTACTTTTATGTTAAAAAAGTTTTTGAATAAAATGTATTTAGAAAGTTATAAGCATTTTAAATTAGCTTGTGACTTTTGGGACACCCTGTATAAATATGCTGTCCTTTTATTGAAACTAGAACATTTCTTTTACATTAGAAAATAGCACTAATAAATTAGTGGCTAAAACGCCTCGTTTAGTGCTATTTTCTGGTTTAAACTGATGTAAACTGGTGTAAATCATTGCAAGAAATAAATGATGACTCAGAGTGTACGATACGATACTTACAGTCGCGTTACACCAGAAAGCAGCACTTAACGAGGCGTTTTAGCTACTAATTTTGGCGAATTTTAAAAAATCATTAACAAGAGATTAAGAGCTTAAATTTGGGGATTATATTAAGAATACTGCTGTTGAGAAATGCATTTATTTTCATTATGATATTTCTAAATTTAAAGCCCTTTGATTTTTCTTTTGGAAACTGAAAATAATTAAAACATTAAAATATAAGCATATTCTAGATATTATTGCCTTATTTATTTTGCCAAAATTTTAACGTTTAACCCATTTTTTCCCATTGTTCCATTATTGGAACAGTGTTGTGTATTCCCAGTGTTCCAATATTGGAACAAACCATGTGTTACTCCCTCCAGTTTAAATATGCTCGCGTAGCCGTTCAGTTTGAACAGTAGACGCTTTAGTAATGTTTAACCAAGCGTACAGTGAGGTTTTATTTGGTTAGTCTGCATATTTCTGTGAATGACGCGCAAAACTCTGTAAATTTTTAACAGCTGACCTAATGGCGTCCAAAAAGTAAGTATATTTGCTAAATTTAGGGCTCTAATATTATTTGCACTGCAGAGGTCAGTATTACGGAATGTATGTTACATGTGTTTCACACCTTTTTAGAAACAAAGTGCAAATTTATAAATGGTGAGTCGTTTTTGTTTTGTTCCTATATTGGAACACTGGGTATGAATGGGTACATTATGTTTATGTTTTGTTTTAGGTATTTGACAACTAAAAATTTAATCGATTTGGTTAAAAATTAAGACTTTTGGTCTGCTGATGTCTACATTACTCCTCCAAACGATGGAATTGAGTCAGAAGAAGATTCTGACGATGACGAGGATCCTTTGGCAAACGTTAATCATCTTAGTGGGCGGCAATTGCAGTCAGAAGCTTGCGCTAAAATAAATAAACCGGACGGGGTAGTTTATCTTGAAGACGAAGTTGAGGATAATAACCTAACAGATGGCAATGGAAGTGATGACAGTGATGATATACCTCTGTCTCAATTGTTGACTCGAAGAAACCAAGAACAAGCAAAGTCCAGTTCCGAACGACAATGGAAGAAAGTTGACATATATCCTGCATTTCCTACATATAGTTCACCTAAAGAACCGCTTAACGGCAACATATTTTTAGATCCTGTTGCTTGTTTTGAGTCATTTTTTGATGTGCAAATTTGCAGTTTTTTGGTGGAAATGTTTGAAGTGTACGCCAGGCAAAAAGGCGATCATAATTTCACCACTAACAGAGAAGAAATAAAATGTTTTGTAGCAATTTTATATCTATCTGGACATTTACAAGTTCCAAGATGGCGTATGCTTTGGGAAGTTGATAGTGATACATATAATCCACTAGTTGCAAATTCAATGCGAAGAAATAGATTCGAAACGTTAAAAAAATATGCACATTGTTCTGGCAACAATAATCTAGAAGACAACAATAAATTTGCAAAATTACAACCCCTCTTCATTATGCTAAACGAAAGATATTTATCTCATGCTCCTCTTAGCGAAAAACTGTGCGTCGATGAAAGTATGGTGCCATATTTCGGAAGGCATGGAGCAAAGCAATACATAAAAGGAAAGCCTATTAGATACGGGTACAAAATATGGTCTTTATGCGAAAAGTCTGGCTACCTCATACAATTTGATCCTTACCAGGGAAAACAAGCTGATAGGAAGTACATAGAACTCGGACTGGGAGGGTCTGTCGTAATGACACTTTTAGAAAATCTGCCAAAGGATGTGCCATTTAAAATATATGGGGATCGCTATTTTTT